GTCAGGGTCAAGGAAAGAGATGTCCTGACCACTGTGAGAAACGGAGCTATAGCCTTCATTTCAACTGAAGTTGAGAGATTCGGAGTGCTGAGCCTCGAGAACCCTCCACAGTACAGCTCCTCTCTCTTCCCAGGACGCTACTCTAAGCGCTTTATCTCTGTGGCGTGCATCTCTCGCGTAGCTGCCATTGAGGACCAGAAGTTTGAAGTGATCACGAACAACCGGACCTTTGCCTTCCGGGCAGAGAGTGATGGTGGAGGAGTGAGACCGGCAGAAGACGAGCAGTTTGGCTTGATAAGGGCGAGGAGGACCAGGGCACCTCTGCTTCTCCCACATAAAACCCAGAGAGGAGTCAACCCTCTGTGAGATGGGGGACGAATGGGGGTACCCTCTGAGGCTCTGTGCTTGAGATACCCACCGAGTCCTCAGCATCAAATTCCATTTACAGGGGGAAATGGGCTCAGATAGGCAAAGCGGGCTTGCCCAGTTTAAGCCGTCACAGCTGGGATTGGAGCCTGAGGTTGGCTCCATGGGATTGGTCCAAGTCAGAGAACTCAGTATAGTCAGAGATCGGTGGCCAGTCTGGGCAGGCCTTCTTGTTCTTAGAGGGCCCCCTGCCAAGCTGAGCTCTGGCTTACTTCCTCCCGTTTGCCCACAGCGGAGCGGAAGGAGTGGATACAGGCCCTGCAGCAGGCAGTGGCCGAGCAGCGTGCCCGGGCCCGGCTATCTAGTGCTTCTCTGTTGGGTGTTCAAGGCTCAGAGCTGCCTGACCGTGCTGGCAGCCTGGAGCTGCGTGGCATCAAGAATAAACTGTATGTGGCTGTGGTTGGGGACAAAGTGCAGCTTTACAAGAATCTGGAGGTACGAAGGGGTGGGCCAGGCTGCTAAATCTCTCCCCTGCTCCATGCCCGCTCTGGTCCTTTAACCCCACCCCATGCCCACCTGGTCCCTCAGCTTCTCCCTTGTCTACCTGGTCCGTTAGCCTTGTCCCAAGTCCACCTGGTCCTTC